TCTTGGGGCTTTTCAGGACGCTCTGGAAGCCCCTTGGGCCGTTGTGGAGCAGTTTTCGGGGCTTCTTGGGCGGTCTTGGAACGTGGGAAACCCGAAAAAGCGAGGACGCTGAAAACATTGAAGAACGAATGGGAAGGTAACATTTTTGAATGCTTTTGGAGCCTCACCGAAACGTCTTAGGGGGCCTCCCGAGGCCCTTTGGAGCTCTCTTGGGGCTTCCTTGGGCTCTTTCGGGGCGGGAGGCTCGTATTTTTAGATCGTGGTCCCCCCTAGGGCTCCTCTTTGGGCCGTCTTGGAACGTCCGTGGGCCATCTCGGACGCGTCTTGGGCCGTCTTGGGGCTTTCTCAGAGCGCTCTGAAAGCCTCTTGGGCCGTTGTGGGGCGGTCTTGGAAGCTTCTTGTGCGGTCTTGGAGCGTCGGACACCCGAAAAAGCGAGGACGCTGAAAACATTGAAAAACCAATGGAAAAGTAACAATTTGGAATGTTTTTGGAGCCTCACTGGAGCTACTTAGGGGGCTTCCCGAAGCCCTGTGGGGCTCTCTTGGGGTTTCCTTGGGCCTTCTCGGGGCGGGAGGCTCGTATTTTCAGTTCGTGGTCCCCCCTGGGGCCCCTTTTTGGGCCGTCTTGGAGCGTTCGTGGGCCATCTCGGGCGCGTCTTGGACCGTCTTGGGGCGCTCTCAGCGCGCTCTGGGAGCTTCTTGGGCCGTCTTGGAGCGGTTTTGGGAGCTTCTTGGGCGGTCCGGGAGCGTCGGAAACCCGAAAAAGCGAGGACGCTAAAAACATTGAAAAACCAATGGAAATTCAACGATTTTGTTCTCTCGGGCCCCCTTTGAGAACGGTCTTGGGGCTCTCGCGGAGGGTCTTCAAGGCTACCCGGGTGCTATCCTGGACTGTCTTGGGTGTCTCTGTGGGCTTGCGCCGACCGATTTGGCACTGCCGCTCGCCTGCGTGCCAGCCTTGGAAAAGATTTTCGGCCGCCCCCGTGGCACGGATCCGGGCCCGGAATTACAAAAATATAGAAAAGGAAATATGTATATGTGTGTGCACGTGAATGTGCGAAAATGTATCAGAGAATGTGCGCATCGCGTGGTTGCTTGTACGCACTGATGTTTTACATACCTACATACATGCATGCATGCATACGTACAGACATGCATACACAAATACATAACTATGTAATGTGTTGGGCTATGGGTCTGCGTACACATTTATATACACACACGTGCGTGATACAAAGCAACCACCAAATATGTGTTTACGTATTTGTGACGATAGCGTGTGCTTTTCGAGACGCCTTCGCGGACGGTCTACGACGGTGGCACATCAGCCCAACTTGACGCCGACGGAGCCCAATGTGGTCCGAGACGGCTCAGCAAGCCCGGCGATGCCGCAGAATGCAGCCCAAAAACACACGCACTGCAACCGCGCGTTCGGACGGCTGTCGGTTTACATGGTCGGGCGCCCAAAGAGCCCCGGGCACGGCCCGAAACGGCACATGGAAGCCCGGAGAAGTTTGTCGAAATTCTGGAATTCCCGGGGGCCCGAGGGCCCGCAGCCCAGACAGCCAGGAATCCCGAAAACACTGGGGCCTCCAGAATGTCAGAATTTGAATACGTTTTGTATGTCTATATATATATATACACACGTATATACATTCATTAATTAATTCATTCATTCATTCATTCATTCATTCATTCATTCATTCATTCATATGTGTATATATACACGTACCTACATACAGACATACATACATACATACAGACATACATACATACATACATGCATACATGCATACTTACATTACATTACATTACATTACATTACATGACATTACATTTCATTACATCACAATACATTACTTTACATTACATTACATTACATTACATTACATTACATTACATTACATGACAATACAATACAATACAATACAATACAATACATACATACATGCATACATACACACACAGACATGCATACATACATACATGCAGGCAGGCAGGCAGGCAGGCAGGCAGGCAGACATGCAGGCATGCATCCATACATACATACATACATACATACATGCACCCATACATCCATACATACATCCATCCATCCATACATACATACATCCATCCATCCATCCATCCATCCATCCAGCCATCCATACATCCATACATCCATACATCCACACATCCACATATCCATACATTCATGCATACATACATACATACATACATACATTCATACATTCATACATTCATACATTCATACATTCATACATACATACATACATACATACATACATACATACACACACACATACACACATATTACGAATTACCAGCCGTTACACAAAAAACAGCACCACAAAAACATCAGGCTCGCAGCACAGACGACCAGGAATCCCGAAGACATTGGACCCTCCAGAGTTTTAGTGTTTGGAGCTTTCTCCCCAGGCTTCTGAAACTTCAAACACTGCCTAGGACATGCGCAGATTTGGGGACTTTCCAAGTTCTGGAAGTCACAGTGGGGCCGAGGGCCCGTGGCCCAGGCGACCAGGAATCCCGAAAACACTCGACCATCCAGAATGTCAGATGTGTTTGAAGAGTACAGCTTCCCGATCGTGCGGAAGCCTCTCTTCTACAGTCAAACCGTATATTAAGGACGCGTGGTAAGGACGCAAGACCCTTGGAGTCTGAAGTTGGGATTTTTTTGGGCGGCGGCGACCAGTGAAAACAGCAAAGGACGGGCCACAGAGGCAAGGACGCAAGGGTATCCTAGATGAAGGCGCGCGTCCTAGGCGCGTTGACTGTACCGCTCTTCACAGGCAATGTTCGGGCAATTCTACAATCTCTGAAACTCCCAAGGGCCCCGGGGGGGCCCGCAGTCCAGGCGATCGGACCCTATAGAATTGTAGAGCCTTCTCTTCTGCCTTCTAGAAAACATTGAAACATTATAAAAATTAGTATAATGTTCAAAAGATGTGATATGTTTGAAATTACCCAGGGCTCCGAAGCCCCTGGAAAATCCTGGGGCCTCCGCGATGCCACTGAAGCCCCCAGGTCGGGGGTCCGGATATGATCGCAGCGAAAGGCTTTTTCTCAAAAAATAGCCCGTGCGCACTACTGGGAAAAGGTTGCGGGGGTCTTAGGAGGTTCAGGCATCCTCGTGACGAGGCATACGGTGCTTGCCAGGTCCAGAAAGGGCCCAAGGGGCGGGGGAGGAGGAGGAGGAGGAGGAGGAGGAGGAGGAGGAGGAGGAGGAGGAGGAGAGAGGACGAAGGAGGAGGAGGAGGAAGAGGAGGAGCGAGAACAAGGAGGATGAGGAGGAGGAGATGGAGAGAAGGAAGGAGAGTCTTTCAAACCCCAAGATGATATACACTATTGGCCGACCGTTCCCCTCCCTCCCTCATGCTCTCCCTCCCTCCCTCCTCCTCCTCCTCCTTCTCCTTCTCCTTCTCCACCTCCGCCTCGGTATCCTCCTCCTCTTTCTCCTTCTCCTCCTCCTCCTCCTCTTCTTCCCCCTCCGCCTCCGCCTCCGGCCTCGTTTACGCCTCCGCTTCACTCTCCGCCTACGCCTCCGCCTTCGCATCAACCTCCGCTTCCGCCTCCACCTCCGCCTCCGCCTCCGCTTCCGCGTCCTCCTCCTCCTCATCCGCCTCCGCCTCCGCCTCCACCTCCGCCTCCGCCGCCTCCTCCTCCTCCGCCTCTTCTTCCTACTCGTCCTCTTCATATGAGCATCGTGAATATCCTTAGTACATGTGATTGGTATGAATGATAAGAGTGTTGTTGGTAAGGGTATCATTGATATTAGTTAAAGTAGTATGAGTGGTATGAGTAATAGTACCAGTACTTGTGCTAGCATGGTTTGTCATTCATAGTATCAGTGGGAGCGTTACTACTATGAATGGTATGGTCAAGAAGAATAATAGTACTGCTGATACTAGTACGAATATCAGCACGAGTACGACTGATAGTGCTGGTGGTATTATGATGTATACCACTCATCGAATCATTCATGTGAATGCTTGTACAAGTAAACATGGTATAATCACTGGTTTCATGCATGGCAGTCTCATTGGATTGGTGATACCAAAGTCGTTGGTGTGACTTGTGTTGTTAGTGTTAGTAGCATTACTCGTATTATTACTATGAACAGTATTACGACTGGCCATAGTAGCACTGCTGTTGTCAGTATTGATAGTATTACTAGTAGTCTAGTAGAAGCAGTAGTGGTAGTAGTAATGTTAGTAAGGGCGTTCATACTGCGAACAGAATTCGTCGTAGAAATAATAATGATGTTGGTTTTGAAAATATGAACTGGACATCCATCACAATACTAATCATGGTGGAGGTGTTACTACTAGTCTTGACAATGTTCCGGGTATCGTTAACGTACTGTTACAAATCTTATGACAATAGTAATATACTGTTCCTCTTTGTCCTAAGTACGACTATTACGCATTTGCACTCGTACTACTCATTATGCTCTTGATACGCGTATGAATCATACGATTAAGCGCACTGGTATGCTTAGTGTTTTCATATAGTTATTCTTATTCGTAAGAACCGTCTTCTCGTTTGTACTAGTATTCTTCGCATGCCTCCAATGAATCATCCGCCTCATCATCATGGCCATCATCATCATATTCCTCCTCATCCTCATCCTCATCCTCATCCTCATCCTCCTCATCATCATCATCATCATCATCATCATCATCATCATCATCATCGTCCTCGTCCTTCTCCTTCTCCTCCTCCTTCTCCCCCTCCCTCGTCCACCTTCTCCTCCTCTTCTCCTCCTCCTCCTCCTCTTCCTCCCTCCTCCCTCCTCCTCCTCCTCCTCCTCCTCCTCCTCTCTCCTCCTCCTCCTCCTCCCTCCTCCTCCTCCTCCTCCTCCTCCCCCGTTTCTCCTCCTCCTCCTCGTCCTTCTCCTCCTCCTCCTCCTCCTCCTCCTCCTCGTCCCCCTCCTCTTCCCCAGTCGCCCGCTGCGGACCCGCAGGCTCAGCTGGGGGGGCCTTCTTGAAGTCGCGCAGCAGCCGGCGGTAGGCGGAGCTGGCCATCGGCGCAGCCAGCCAGCCCTCGCTCCCCACCCCAGTCGGCGCCTCACCTCAAACGGAGGGGCTCCATTAGCCTGTTCCCGCTGCGCGCGGGGGGCGGCCAAGCTTCTGGGCCGCGCAGGACGAGCGGGAGTATGGAAAGAGGGAGGGAACCGGGGAGGGGAAGCGGAGCATGGAGCGTGGATTGGCCTGCCTCCGAGGCAAGTCCGAAGAAGAAGAAGAGGGGTGAGACGAAGAAGCACAGGCTGCCGCCACGGGCAGCAAGTGGGGCAAGGCAAGAGCGGCATGCGGGGAGGGTAGCCGGGAGAGGCAGGAGGGAGAGGCAGGAGGCAGAGCCTTGCGTCCTACTCGGGCGCGTCGGCGGCGAATGCGGTACTCAGGCGTTCGCGAAAGCGTTCTGAATATCTAATCTTCTGATCTCCTCCATGTCCAAAGTGACGAGCGGCGCGCGGAGGAAGGAGGAAGGAGGTCGGGGGGAGGGGGAAGGGGGGAGGGCAAGAGGGAAGGCGGGAGGGGGAGGGATAGGGGGGGGGAGAAAAGAAGGAGGGCGGTACAGAAAGACCACGAGGGCCAAAATCGCTCCGAGGAGCTTCCGCAAGAACATTCTGAGCACAACGGCGTGATAGACGAGGGAGAAGAAGAGAAGAGGGAGGAGGAGGAGGAGGAGGAGGAGGAGGAGGATAGGAGGAGGAGGAGGAGGAGGAGAATGAAGAGGAGGAGCAAGAGGAGCGGAAGGTCAAATAAGACTGGAAACTGAGAGGAAGAGGGGGGACTTGGAAAGGCGGAAGATGCCAACATGCTTACAATGGTCCCCCGCGCTTGGATCGGAATTCGATGAGCTTTCTTCCGAGGCAGGGATAACAGAAAAGATGTGTTGGCGAAGCGGTAGCGGGCCAACTTGCACATCTCCATGAAAGCAAATACACGTGTATGGATATGAGTACATTTTCATCTACATACACAGATATATATATATATATATATATATATATATCGCACCCAGAGGGGCTCCACAAGGGTCCTGACGGGCCTAGAAGGGTGCACGAAAGTGGTCTACAGGTGCCTGTGCGGCACGGCGAATTGTATAGTGATGGCTGGCCAGAACCTAAGATCTGAGAGAACGAGAGAGAGAGAGAGAAAAAAAAAAAAAAAAAGGAAAACCAGAGAGAGAGAGAGAGAAAGAGAGAGAGAAGGGGAAAAAAGAGGGACAGAGACAGAGACGGAGAGAAAGTCAAACAAAAAAGAACTGGTCTCCGAGAGCGGGCGGTCCCAGCAGAGTGCGCCTCCGGTCCCCGCGGAACGAACGAGGGGAAAGCCTTGAAGCTGCGCACGAGTCGCGACGCCTGCCAACCGATCCAGGTCCCCACCCTCCCCCTCCCTGCGCCACAACCCCCCCCCTGACCCCATTCCACCCCCCATTGTCGCCTCGTGTTTCCCCTTTCGTACGGAGTCCTTTCCCTTTCCCCTCCTCCTCTCTCCTCACGCCCTCCTCCCCACCAAACACTTCCTCTCCTCCTCCTCCTCCTTCTCCTCCTGCCCCTCCTCGCTCTTCCACATATCTTCCCCACTACACTGCTATTCATCCCCCACCTCCCTCATCTTACACCTCCTCATCCTCCTCATCCTCCTCCTCCTCCTGCTCATCCTCCTGTTCTTATGTTTATTATTCTTCTTCTTCCTTCTCCTCCTCCTCCTCCACCTCCTCCTCCTCCTCCCCCTCCCCCTCCTCCTCCTCCTCCTCCTCCTCCTCCTCCTCCTCCTCCTCCTCCTCCTCTCCTCCTCCCCATCCCCTCCTCCTCTCCTCCCTCCTCCTCCTCCTCCTGATCCGCTCCTCCCTCCTCCTACTCCTCCTCCTCCTCCTCCTCCTCCTCTCCTCCTCTCCTCCTCCTCCTCCTCCTCCTCCTCCTCCTCCTCCCTCCTCCTCCTCCTCCTCCTCTTCCTCCCTCTCCTGCTGGTCCCTACTCCTCCTCCTCCTCCTCCTCCTCATCATCATCATCATCATCCTCCTCATCCTCCTCCTTATCCAAACTCATCCCCCCTCCCTGGGGGCCTCCGTCATGACGGCCTCGCCAAAGGCTGCTGGCTCAGTAGGCTTTTGACAAGCGCCGCTCATACGTACTCCCCATCCTCACCCCCACCGACATTATCATATCCATCCTACAAGACCTCCTGGTCTTCCTTTTTTCCGATCCCCCTCATCCTCTCCACCCCCCAATTGTCATCATAATCCTTATTTTTTGCTGCCTCAACAGAATGATCATCAGCATCACCACCACCACCACCACCACCACAACCACCACCTCCACTATCTTCGTCATCATGATCACCACCACCATCATCATCAACAGCACCATCTCGTTTTCATCATCCTCATCTTCCTCGCAATCGTCAGCACTGGAATCATCATTGTCTCCCCTCCTCCCTCAACTCCCCTCCTCCTCCTCCTCATCTTCCTACTCTTCGCGCTCATAGTTATCCTCCTCCTCCTTCTTCTCCTCCTCCTCATCCTCCTCCTCTTCCTCCTCATCATCATCATCATCATCATCAGCAGCAGCAGCATCATCAGCATCATCATCATCAGCATCATCATCCCTCTCCTCTTCTTGAATATCCCTTTTCTCATACATTCCCTCCTACTCCTCTTCCACCGTATCTCTTCTACTGTTTCTCCATCCCTCATGCGTCTCCGTCCTCCCTCTCTCCATCCTCCCTGCACCTCCCGAGAGAGGAGGGAGGATGGAGGAAAGAGGAAGGAGCAGGGAGGAACGAGGAATAAGGAAGGAAAGGAAGCAGGTAGGAACAAGGAGCAAAGGAGGTGAGGCGGCACGCGAACGATCGTTCAAGCTGGAGCGCCAAGGGCAGAACGAAAGGCAGGACGGGCACGCGCTTCGTTTTTCGCCCCGCGTGGCAGGAAGTCCAAGACGTCTTGGCTGTACAACGGCGCGCTGCTCCGGAGTTGTGCAGGGCTAGCTCTCAAAATCCTGCCTGCGCGAGGGCCACCACGGGAAGCGGGGAGGAGGACCAGGTATTGGGTTCCCGAGCAGACCGCAGTGAGCCTGGAAGGCAGTGCCTCTGGACGCCGTGGAGCTGGGCGACGTACGTTTCCATCGACTCGCGGGTCTGGACACAATTTGTCGAGTCTGACTGCTAGAGGGATAGAGCGAGCCCTGATGAGAAAGCAGGGCAATTCATCAGAACTCCAACTTCCGCACGCGCATCCACTCCTTAACCTCGGGCGTACACGGCAACATGTACAAAAGAAGATCGACACAATTGTCAGACGCATACTCCTCCTCCTTCTCCTACTACTCCTTGCCATCCTCCCCCTCCTCCACCTCATCCTCATTGCGGAAGTGGGACAACATGAATGCACCGAACGATACAAGCCACATCCCCCAGAAGAAAGCGTGCAAAATCGAGTGATCGCGCAGTCATGCAAATTAAGGGAATCACGCTCACTACTCTCAACCCGCACATCCAAACGATACGATAAGCAAAAATTGAAATTATGCCCTTGGCGAATGGCCCTCGATCAAGAACGACAGTCAACTTAGAAAGACCCTCTGGCAAATTACATGACCGCAGTGCGCACACGTGCGGATGTAAGCAAGAAAGAGCCTCGTCGTCAGTGATCGTGTCGCGAATGGCCTGGCAGGTTACGACACTGGAGAGACCCATACAAGCAACAGAATAAGGGAGACAGGCAGAGAGAGAAAGAGAAAATAGTCGACGACGGGGAGCGCATCATAAGGAATGAGAACAAGGATAAAGGAGCTGGGAGAGCAACAAGTATCCAACAGCTGGACCCACAGGTTGCAAATAACCTGCTCGATGACAATTTGAGTCTCGAAAGAAAACCCAAACGGTATGTCCCCTGCAGGGTTGGCATACATCTGCTGCTACGTTGACTGCAAGAGGCAGGGTCTCGCATCTACGCCTGCAGCTATCATTGCTGCTCATAGTTATGACCACTTCTAAACAGGCACACGGGCACATGCTGAAAACACTGTCAAAACATTGAAATGCCGAGGCTAACAAAGTCAAGGCGGAGATAGATGAGAGGAAAACCAGACCCAATGTATCCTCTCTATAAAAGCTTGGAAAAGCGACCTAAAATCACACTCGAAGCCAGACGCTCTCGGGACATCACTCCGTGGATACACGGCTGGGGAGCTGGGCAATGTACAAATCAACCACGCATCCTCCATCTCATTCTCGTCTTCATTTCCTCCTCGTCCTCCTCCTCCTCCTCCTCCTCCTCCTCCACCTCCTCTACCGCTGCCTTCCTCCGCCAGCTGCCCCGTCCAACCCGACCCGACCGACCAGACCCGACCCGACCAGCCCCGCCCCGAAACGCCCCGCCGCGCCTCCGCCCCCGTCGCCGTCGTCGTCGTCAACAAAGTCGTCGTCGTCGTCGTCGTCGTCGTCAACGTCGTCGTCGTCGTCGTTGTCATCGGTCGTCGCAGTCGTCAACGTCGTAGTCGGTCGTCGACGTCGTCGTCGTCGTCGGGCGTCAACGTCGTCGTCGTCGTCGCCGTCTGTCGTCGGTCGTCGTCGTCGTCGTCGTCGTTGTCGTCGTCGCCGCCGTCGTCGTCGTCGTCGTCGTCGTCGTCATCGTCGATCGTCCGTCGTCGGCCGTCATCGTCATCGTCGTCCATCGTCGTCGTCGTCGTCTGCGGCCTTGGTCCGCCGGTTTTCTGGACCCCCGCAACAGTTTCCGTCCAGAACCCTTCGTCACCCCCTCCCTAGTTTGGGGGGGAACCGCCCCCCCGTGCCAGCATCGTCAGAAAGCGTTTTTCGGTAGAAACTAATCCTAGGCCACCTCGCTGGCAGATAACTGGCCCATCCAAGCGACCCGACGGGTTCTATTTCAACGCGGACGGCTCGTCCCCGACGTCGCAGAATGCGTGCCCGGAGTGAGACGGGGCGCACGTCCCGTGCGAAAGGGCGAAGCGTCGTTGTCCGCTCGGCGCCGTGCTCATCTTGCCTGACGGGTGGGCTCC